TTGTGATAGACGGAAGACACGTCTCCAGTGCTTTAAATGTGCGTGCGCTCAGAGGTCCTAACATCGACTCGATCCACTATCTTGTTGCTGCCAAGATTCGCACGCGCCTCTGTGCAGCAAAAAACGCACGCTATCAAACACAAGGAAGGTTCGACGTCGAGAAGCTGCAATCACAACAGACAACCGAACTATTTTCTACTCGGCTTGCACTCCTGCTCTCTGAGAGCACTCGTCAACAACTCAGTATAAGGGAACTGTGGGACGGCATTTCAAATTCCTTACGTACAGCTGCAACGGAAACCATTGGTTTTCGGAAAGTTCAAAAAAACAGCTGGTACGACGAGGAGTGCCGTGTCGCAGCGGAGAGAAAACAGGCTGCCTACCTCGCAACGTGCGGGATGGATAGATACCGAGAGTTGAAGAGGGAAGCGACACGCATTTGCAGACAGAAAAAGAAAGAGGCCGAAATGCGTAATGCGGCGGCTGACAGAAGGTTTCAAGACCGGAGCATACTCTTGTAAATCCCCCAAAGGCGATCTAGCCACCGATGCCCAGAGCATGCTTAAATTATGGAGGGAACACTTCTCCAGCCTGCTGAATGGCAACGAACGCACAACGCCTGGAGAAGGCGGACCCGATTCCGCAATCGATGACGTTGGAGCAGACGTTCCATTGCCYGACCAGGAAGAAGTTCGAATAGCAATTACCCGTCTGAAGAGCAACAAAGCGGCGGGGGCCGATGGATTGCCGGCCGAACTATTCAAACACGGCGGCGAAGARCTGATAAGGAGCATGCATCAGCTTCTTTGTAAAATATGGTCGGACGAAAGCATGCCCAACGATTGGAATTTAAGTATGCTATGCCCAATCCTCAAAAAAAGAGACCCCACAATCTGCGCAAACTACCGTGGGATAAGCCTCCTGTATGTATGTATGGCATTCAATAACGTGTTCGCCATGGTACATGAATAATGAAAATATCCATTTCATTGGGCGCGTTTTTTTACGTGGCGGTTTTACTGCGTAGGGGATATTTCGTCTTCTCACTTTAGCTCACCTTCGATCCATCTTCTAAAACTGGAAGTCGTGAGCTGCTCCAGCCGCAATCGTTTTTGGCCTTTCCAAAGTGAATGGCGATCAGAGAATTTTCCTCACTTGCTTGAACTTCTATACATGAATCCATCCTCAATAGGCCTTGGTTTAACAATATAAATATAGTAGTTGATATGTGTATATTAGCATAAATTTAGTTTCTGACCTCGTAAGTGCTCGCATATATAAAACTGACCTTGAAAATATAGAAATACTTTCAAAAAGCTATCGATAATTTTAGTAGAATTATAATTTATCGTTTTTTCAATCTATTATTTGCCATTTCCTTGTTTTATCGGCAATGTTTTGTAAGAAAAATTAGCATTTGATCAAAATTGACCCAGGCTGCGAAATGCCAGTAATGCTGGAATTGGTAGTCAACGTGCCGCTCTCATGTGCTTACCAACCGTACCAATGTAAAGAAATGTTCTCCTACAGATTTGTTTATTTCCTATGCGCAACCGACTCATCATGATCCCTGTATATTTGGTATCAAAACATATATGTACTTAGTATATAAGAATGTATGTATGTATATTAAAATTTATCTATGTATTTCATGATGATTCCATAAAATCTTTAAAAATATATAATAGAGTAAAGTTTGTATTATTACCCAAATAATTATGTAATTTAAGTTTAAGGTAATTAGTTTTAAATTTATTAATTTACATTAAAAGTTTCGATATCATGTTAAAAGACCAAGCGGTCGCACATTTGCCCATATATAACTATGTGTGCATGTAAACAAATGTGATAGTACATACGCATAATGTTTGTAAATTGGTCTACATGCAACATACGTACATTTAATGCTTTATGTGAAATCTCTGTTGACACGAACAACTAATTGCCGAAACTCACGTTTTGTCAAACAGTCAATTTGACGAAGGACCGATGCGATTTCAATGCGTCACAACATTGTGTTGTTGGTAGAAAAAAGAAGCGAACGATCGCCGATTGTCACCGCTTCCCTTGCCGCTCTAACAGCTTTACCAACAAACTTATGTAAATATGTATGAACGTACTTATACAAATCGAAGCAGAGTTTGGCAAGCCCCGGAAAAATATTTTAGAGTTGACAAATATTATAAATCGACAACAGCTATGTTGCCACTTTTGTCACTCCGTGTTTTTTGTGTTTTGCGAGTTTGCATTAGAAAGTGGTTCAATTTATTATTTTTAGCTTTTGTAAGTTTGTGTATGCATTATTTATGTGGCAATGTTATGCGAGAATATTTACGTACATACTTATGAGAAGCGCGCACATGTTATTATTGATATGTGATAATATGATTTGAATTCGCGAAAGCGAACATAAATACATGTCATGATACATTTGAATATAATTTTTGAATGATAAAATATGCGATTTATGTACATTTATCACAATTGTTATATATTTAATTATGTTAATATATTATGATAGTTAAATACATACATACCTACATACAAATAATGAAGTATATACATATGCATCAATATGCACAAAAAGAATTCATATGAATACATGCATATCTTTGCATATAAACGTATAAAAATATAAGCAAAAGAGCTAACATACGTCTACAACAGCAATATAAAATTCTGAATCCTTATTCAATGCTTAGCTCTGTTCAAGTGCAACTGTTAAGATTTCTCCTGCCGAGCTGACAGTGATGAAACTCCTTCATCTCGACCGAGTTAACAAAAAATATTTTTACTTTCTCTGCGCCGTGAACCTTCTCTATGATAAACGTTCTCTGATAATATATTACTATTGAAAACCATGTGCTGTAAGAGGAGAGTCATTTACAATGCACACTCATAAAATATATCATATTAGCAGATTCGATTTGCGTTGGTGACTAAATTCTGCATAAGTCAAAAGTTTTGCCGTAGGGACCACGTAGAAATTTGTTGTTTTCCATGTTCACAATGGAGCAATATTGCTCAATTTTTATACGTTGTTTGTCACACATTTAGCATTTCGGTAAAAATTTTTTACATGCATATTTATACATAAATATTTCAAATATAAAGTTTACTTCGTAAATACCACAAAATATCGAAACCGAACCTTTTGCTTTAAGAGAGTAATCATTTGACTTATTTTTAGCGGAAAATTAAATTTTCGCGGATATCAACGAACAGGGATGGTAAAAGAAAATACACAAAGAAGCAAGAATTGTACCAGAGAACGCATATCATAGAGAAGGTCTAACTACGAACAAGCGTGTGACGTGTCAAAATCCAACAGAATGCGATGAGCGTGTTTCACTACAGCTAGCTCAGAAGAAGAAATTTTAACAGTAGCGCGTGAACAGAGCTGAGCATTCACTGGAAATTATGCTCAGAAATATACATTGCTATTACAGACGTATGTTGGTCCTTTGCTCATATTTTTATCCGTTTACATATTAATTGATATGATTATCATTTTGTATATTTTTATGAATAGATGTGAAATTGATAGGATTCTAATTAAATTATGCTATTTTCAAACCAATATTTGTAGTTAATATTTCTCATGTTTGATAATATAATATAATTCCATGAAAATGTTTATATATATGCTATATATGTACATTTGTATATGAGATACTATCGTAACACCCTAAAAATCTTAATATATTACAACAATGTTATATGTAAATCGCATTTCATTATTTAAATTTTCATATGCATCTATCACCACATAAGTAAATACATATGTATGTTAGTAAAATTCAAATTCAAACAAGATATTTTCGTTTCTCAGTAATACAATGTGCGCCAGTTAAGTAACGTATTCCTTACAATGGTAGCAAACATCAAAACAACATTGAATTGGAACAATTGAAATGCCCTATCACTACAACAAACAATCCTAAACAAACAAGTATCAAAAGAACCTTGAGTTTGAATACCACAACAACCTTATCTTAAAACAAAGCAAATGTTTTTTAGTAAATAAACTTAAACAAATAATATACTCTTTTAAACAAACTATCAATTAGTAATAAGTGAACATACTAGTTAGTTTAAATAAAAGCAAGAACATGTAATAATTTAGTCTTAAGAGTATAAATAAAGAGTACACATATCAGTGCAGCTCAAAATATATTCTCTTGACTAATTTTTACTTAATGTAAAAATTAACTCGTGCACTGCTCTATGTGTACATATATATGTGTGCTTGATATTGCCGAAAAAATATATACACAAACCTACATACACATATGCGTACACCCACAAAACATACGAACATTGTTCTACAAAAACAACAATCGTCTCAAATAGCATCAACTGCGTCATAAGTCAATATGGCAGCCAAATATCGATGCCCAAATTTAGAGTAAAACGTGTAACAACAAAATTTTCATTCATGAGCGCAAGAGCAGACACCATCACATCTCCCCGAACATGCTTTTGCCTAAAAGCATTTTTTCGCGACGATGGCAAAAGCTAAAAACCATAAATTGAACAATTTCTGATGTTTCTTCTAGAAAAGAAAAGTGTCAACCCCTCAAAGCCGCAAAGCGCAGCAATAAGTGACAAAAGTGGCAATATGGCTCTTGTCTATTTGAAATATTTTATAAATCTAAAATAGTTTTCCTCGGCTCGCAAAAATCTGCGTCTATATGTATACAAGCTCAAACATAAACATATATATTTATGCTAGTTTGAGGGCGAAGCTGCTATATATGCTATATATAGTATATAACGCAGCCGATTTTGTATTGTGTTGTTTGCTTTCAGACATTACAAATTTGTGAGGAACTTGCGAGCATTTGAGATTTTGAAATCACTTCAGCATACGGAAAACCTGGTATATAACTAACACCTCACAATAGCGAGTGTGGTGATTTTTGAGAGATGATTTATCGAGAAATTCGTTACAATATCGGTGCTGGTATTAGTCTTAAAAGTTATCGACATGATGAAAAGATGATATATTATTTACTACCTCCAAAAGTTAGAATATTTACCTTTGGTATTATTTATTAATATAAAAGATTCCAGAAACATTGCTTATAATATCGTAATCAAAATAGTTACAGAAAAAAATGCTTCAAATAAGTGGTCAGTACAGATTAACATGTACAAGGCGGTTATATAATATGAAAGACTTGCTTTTAAAGAAGTGTACGGAGAAATTTCACAATAGTTGTTTCATTCGACTTCCCAATCAGTCTATGTCGAAAACTAAGGTTAGACAAATTAGTTTAAACTTTATGAAATTAATCTGATCTGCAATTTATATATTATTAGATAAAGCATTTTGCCGCTGAATACAAAGCTGCTGTGAATTTACTTGCTAGGTCTTGTGATGTGTCACCATTGATGGTGCGAAGATTACACTCAAATAGTGTATTTTTTACGTCGAATAAGCCTCCGAATGACAAGGACAATGCCGACAGAACAAATGGTAAAGACAAGAATAATGCTAATAAAAATGAGAACAACGAAAAAAATGAAAACGAAGATAAAATGAAATCAATTCTCTCGAAAGCTTTACTTTGGATGTTTACTATTTACATGCTCGTCGTCTTCTTGTCGCTAATAATTACACCTAGAGCAGAACGTCCTGAGGTATAGTAAGAATATCAAATATGACACGATTTCGATTACTTTGGCGGTCGGGTAAAAAATACGAATTTCGGTATAAATGGGGTACGTATGGTTAGGGAGCTTCTAAAGAGGAGGAAGGCACGATTACGATACTTTGGTGGTAGGGTAAAAACCACGATTTCGGTATAAATGGAGTATGTACGGATAGGGGAGCTTTTCCAGAGGTGAAATATGTAAAAATAATGTTGCGCCCATTATATTTTTTTTAAATATTCCCTATTAAAAATTCAAAAATTTGTTTTAATAAACACTTTGGCTTTCACAATCTTTCACTAATTTTTTTCACATCTTTTTACTTTGTATATTTCAATATAAACTTCAAACATTGAAATAATTTCATATTTCACTTTTACTTTCTTATATTTTAGGTATATTTTCTAATTTAAAAATCACTTAGCACATTCATCGTTGAAAAGGTTAGATTGTTTACAATTATGAGGAAAACGAACCTTGTCACATCTTAAACACCAAATATGTAGTATTTTCAAAGATTTTTCTTTGTTTGCATTTTCGTGTGATTTCTTTTTTCTATATTAATTATAATAAAAAATACTTCCCAACATTTTTCAAGCTATAATTGAGTTGTAAATATTTTTTAGACGCTTATTTTTATTTATTTATTTAACTAACTAAGATTGCTAAATAAAGAAGAGGAGAAATTTCAGCTGAGCAATTCGCTTATTATTTTGCTTATTATCATATGGCAGTGCTCCATCTTCCTCTTTCCACCGGTACGTTCAGATCGCGGCCCCGAAGAAATCGGAATTGTGCCAGGAGAAATATGCAAACATAATTTTGCTAACACTTATATTTTTTAAAATATTCTCAATTAAAAATTCAAAAATTTGGGTTAATAACACTTAGTATTTCACAATCTTTTTTTTACAATTTTTTTTTTACTTTGTATATTTAAATATACACTCTAAACATTGAAATAATTTCATATTTCACTTTTACTTTCTTATATTTTAGCTATATTTACTAATTGAAAAATCACTCTCATAAAAATAGCACACACCGTTCAAAAGGTTACATTGTTTACAATTATGATTTTCAAAGATTTTTCTTTATTTGTACTTTCGCATGATTCTTTTCTCTCTATTAATTATAATAAAAAATACTTCCCAATTTTCAAGCTATAACTGAGTTATGAACACTTTTTCCATATACATTTGTATATGTATAATATGTGATTTATATTTAATAAACACAAAAAATTTATATCATATCGAGTGACTGAAGTACTTTTGCGTCGTACTCCTTATAGCGAAAAAGAAATTTCAGCAAATTGCTCATATTCGCTTATAATCATATGGCAGCGCTCCATTTCCTCATAATTGCTAGCACATAAATGATGCTCACTATGAGTGTAAAAGGTAATTTTTAAAATATAAATTTCTTACGGTGTAAATTGTTGTTTTAATTAAATTAATTTGAACTGAAAAATGTGCATAAAGTGTGTTAAATTTATTGAAATAGCTTGTTGAAATGTTCGAATTTTATAAATTTTTTAAATTTAAAGTCGAATATCTCGTAAACTAAGCGTTTGCGGTACCTATAGCCCCGTATAGTTTTTAATCATTAGGACTTCCTCTTTCCAACGGTACTTTCAGACCGCGCGAGAAAGAAATTGAAATTGTGCCCAAATATGATATACATACATATGTAGTATAAATTTTGGTAGGCTGGTTCAAATCCGACATTACGAGAAACTTTATTTATTTGTTCTGTTTTTTTTTATACCCTGAATAGTTTGTAACACCCGGAAGAAAACGTCGGGTATCATATAAATTAGGTATGTAAATGATCAGTGTGTCGAGCTAAGCCGATTTGGCCATGTCCGTCCATCAGCCGGTGTGTTTGTCTGTTTGTATATAATGCGAACCAATTTTTGTTAAATCTTACGGCTGACACAAACTGGTCGAACAAAATCAAGCTTAGTATGGAAAGCTTTTTTATTTGACAAGATATCTTCTCGAAATTTGAAAGAAATTATAGGCCAGGTTATAATATCCGAGGATATTCCGATCGCTATAAAGATCATGTATAATGAAATTTAATAGATTTATTTTCAAGCCATCGACTACAATATTAAGCTCAAGTCTATACTCCTTCATCCAGTTGGTGAATATGGTCGCTGTGGATTTGGTGGGGGAGAGTGTTAGGTCCCGTGCAGAGAAGAAGAAGGAAATGTCGGAGAGATACCTGTTTACCGTCGAATACATGCCATCGATTCCATTGCCTGACGTCAATATTATGAAATCATCAGTGTACGAGGTTATGGAAACTCGCTTTGGTGGATGTGGGAGTTTCGAGATGTAGAAGTTAAACAGTAGCGGGGAGAGGACATCACCCTGAGGAACTCCCTGTTTCATTCTTCTTAGTTGATTTTTCTCTTCGAAACGGTACGGATGATTGACGACCGCTCAGGTAGTTCATGGTCCACCTCTGCAGTCCTGGAGGGAACGTAGTTTTCTTGATGTCCTGCAGTAGTGTTGTGTGATTGACGGTGTCAAAAGCTTTTGACAAGTCCAACGCTACGAGGATCGTTCCCTCACAGGGTGGTTTCTGGTTGAGGCCACGAACTATTTCAGTTCCCCAGTTACATGTTGCACTACAGGATATTATACCACCCGAATATAGGTGCGTTACTTCGTGGTGAAAACAATTTGGTACTAGGCGACTTTAACGCATACCACGATCTTTGGCATTCCTGCCTGTCAAACAATCGTAAGGGATTGAAGCTGGCGGAACATCGGCTCGCCCGATATAACCATTGCTAGTGGTGGTCTGATAAATAGCATAACTTGGCGACCTATGCCAATTCTCGCATCAGACCATATGCCCATAATTATCCCGATCGAGAAACCTCCCGATTTTGTTTCCGTGGACAACCGTACCTTCGTTACTTTTAAAATAGCTGAATTGGTCGGTTTCACAGAATTTACTGAGACCACCTTCAATGCTTTACCCATACCTGCGGACGTATCCGTTGCCGAACGTCGATTACGCAAGCTGATCGCGGCAGCTACCGCTCGCTTCATCTCCGCTGGAAGATTTGCGAACTCCGCACTAATTTCCCCGCCGTAGCAGCCGTTTTAGCTAATGAGCGCGACTCGCTAAACGCCATGCCGATCCCGGGGTTTCCCGAATAAGGGATCTCAATTTGGAGATTCGGCTTACCAATCGCCGATCAACATATCTCCTGACCAGATAGCTATAATCTGACCTTCTAGGGTAGTATCCATGCGGTAGATGTCTTCATTGATTAGACGATAATGCACAGTGTTGTGCAATATAAAGGTTAGGCCACCACCATTATCTCGCCAGCGATCTTTACGTAAAACGTTGAAACCGGCCCAACTCAAAAGATCTGAGCGGCTGTTTAGCTTGATTTCTTTGACCGCAGCTATCGACACACGTTTCCGATTCATGAGTGCAACTATCTCCCCGATCTGGAGTCCGCTGCAGTTGAATTGTAGTATTCGGGTTTGTTACCGGTGTCCGTGGGTGATCTTGGGGGTGAGGAAGTGACGTATAGATGGTGTTTATTGCAGCTGTAGAACCTGCAGGGGCGGTTGTCGCACTGTTGTGTGTTGCGGGGCAGACTGCCGCGGCATGGGCCAACATACGACTCGCTCCACTCACACGTGATGCGCAGGCCGGAACACTCCGGGAAATGACACCAGCCAGTGCTAGAATAGAACTTGTCTGTTGTGACTTTCCCACATATGACTTTCTGACACACTGAAATGACTGTGCGAGGAACCAGGAGTTGCTGAGTGGTTCTCGTACGAGGATTGGGGCGGGATGAAAGTTGGAGGGGGCAAGTCAGAGATCTAAACGGGTTAGATCGCCGAAGTCTGCTCGGCGTATTGTCTTATGTCGTCGACGTAGTTGAGGAAGGATCTCTTTACGCTCCTAAGATGCTGTACCGCATCAAGCAGGTGGCTGCAGGGATGATTTTTACGAAAATAAATCCAGCAGAAAGTTCTTGGAGAAGAGTTAGTTTTACTCCTTAACTAGGAGCATACGGGTCTCTCTGTGCAGATATTCAATAGGAAACATAAAGAGTGCAGCGATCTGGTATGTTTGAAGCTTCCTCGTTTGTGTTTCCCTGCATCCAGGCAACCATATTGGCCCGGCGTAATTAAGGACCAGTTGCCCGATTGCCTTGTATTTTGCCAACAACGAATCCTTTTATTTTCCCCATGTTCTGCCTGCTAGCGACTTGGTGATTTTGTTCCGGCAATCGTGTGAGGAGTTAAGGGGTTAGTCAGAAGCATGAAAAAATGAGAATTTTCAGTATTTTATTTTTTTTTTTGCTATTAAATCGTGTTATTTTACAAAAGTAGTAATGTGGCATTATTATAGAATGTGTTGACTTCAAGTCACGAAAATTTGAACAAAAAAGGAAATTTAATTTCCAAATTTTAAAGTTGTTTATGGTGACCCAGTTCCAAAAAAAGGTACTTGCGGTGACAACCATAAGTCCTTGGAGACTCATCTAAAAACAATCGGACAAATAAAATTAGTTTTATAAGTAGATAACCTGGGCCTGATAGAAGGATTTTTTTAATTAACAAAATGGCGGCCCCAGGAAGTTTTTGTTTAAATTTTTGGAAAAAATAAACAGTTAATTGGTCTTAAAAAATCGAAATTTTTGAACAAAAAATCCTTCGATCAGGCCTGAGTTTATTATGTATTTTAAAAGCTGTATAAATTTCATTAAAATCTACTGAGCGTTTTTCTAGTTACAGTTGTCACCAGTTCAAAAAAAATAGTTTTGAGAAAAACGCGTTTAAAGTTTCACACTAGCGCTTTGAAGTGCCCGAGCTCTCTTTGTTATTTGTCGAATAACTCAAAAACTAATTATCGGATCAACGTGAAATTTTCAGAGAATATTTTTAAGATATCACACTTAACGAAAGTGCAAAAAATAAATTAATTTTTGAAAATTC